TGGCACTACAATCTGACAGTCTGCAGGGGCGTTTCACACCTAGCTCAATCATCACACTCTGGCCCTACAGTGAAGCCTCAGACAAGCCCTGTGCATGCAAACCCCATGCACTTCCCACACGCTGCCCTGCAGGGAGGAGCAGCAGGCCGGCCTGGCAGAGGGGACACAGCAGTCAGAGAGGTAGAGGGCACTCCAGCGGAACCCAGCTCCCTCCAACTCCCAGGGGGCCTGGCGCTGGGCTGTGTCAACCATAATAAAGTCCATTGCAATGTCCACTCAATCACATGCTTTCACAATGTGGAGAAACTGAATTTTCATGTCAGAGACGTTAAACAGAAAATTTCCCCCTCCCATATACACACACACGCAGAGCTGGCCAGAGGCTCCTTCTAATCTGGAGGCAGCTGGGACAGCTCAGGTCACCCTGACCTCAGATGTGGGGTGACTTCAATGGAGTCATGCTGCCTTTCTGGCTAACGGAGACAGTGGCCTGGTCACCAAACACTGTGATTCCCAAGTCCAGGTTCATGGCCAGTTTCACGGATCCACAAGAATTTGGGAATACAAGCATTTTCAAGGACTGTCCACTATCCCAAGATGACATCCATTCTACTTTTCTGGTACTAAACTAGCCTTTCTTTTATGAAATGTAAGCCATATTAGATGATAGCTGGGTTTTTAAAATTTTGTTTCTTTCCTTCCTTTCTTTAAAATGGACACATTTGGGCTGGCCCGGTGGCGCACTGCTATAGTGCGCCGCTTGGGAAGTGCGGTGGCGCTCCCGCCGAGGGTTCGGATCCCACATACAGACCGGCCGCTCACTGGCTGAGCGAGGGGCGGGAGCAACACCGAGGGTTGCAATCCCGTGGCTGGTCCCGGTCCGGTACAGGCGCAACACTGAGGGTTGCGATCCGTTGCCGGTCACGAAAAAAGACAAAAAAAAAATAAGGAAAAAAAAAAAAATGGACACATTTAACAAAATTACACACTGGCCACCCTAGAAAGGTCCTTCCCCTTTTTTTTCATTGGTATGCAGAACCCCAACAGGTGAGATTAAGGGCCCGTTCGGTTCTTTCTTTGTTATCTAACGCTTCCAGGAGTCTGAGACTGGATTACCTCTGAGATCTCAGCTGCTTAAAAACCCCAAGACCAGAACTGCAAAATACATTTCCTGTCCCTTATTTCAAGTGGTGGCATGTGAATTAAGTGACAGCCTCAACAACAGGGCCTCCGACTGCCCCAGCCCAAGCCCAGGTCTCCCTCCCGCCCACAGGCCCAGGCAGTGGGTCAGGATAAACAGCCCCATGCACTGCAGTGAGACAGTACCAGCAGCAGAAGGGCCAATGCTGGATCACGGACTTCCTCCACAGACATAAGTGGACAGAGGCCAGGCCTGGGGAGGACACCAGGGCTTTGCTCCAGACAGCCCTGTCCAGCCCCCAGCCTGAGAAGACCCAAACTAGAGCTACAGAAACAAAGCCCTGGTTAGATCTTAAGGTCTGCTGCCCATGGTGGCTTTTCAGGGAGCTCTGGTCCCAAAGACCCCCAGCCCAAGGGGCCTGAAAAAAAATAAGCTATGAAATGCTCAAACCACGAACTCCTGGCCTGGTTCAAAAGTTAGTTACTTTATTCTTGCCGAGCCCCTAGCTGAGAGGTGGGAGGCTGACAATGTCCTGGGGGTGGACTGAGGACACCATGCCATGTGCCAGGCACACTGGACCACAGCCCATGGTGGGGCGGGGCCAGATGCAGGCTGCCTGGGCTGGACACCAGCGCCCCTGTGGCTCTGCTCACCACTTCCCTGCTCTGACGGAAAGAGTTACAATCTATCACCTCACTGACCCTCACACCATGGCCCGTTTAGCAGGTGCCATTATTATCCCATTTTACAGGCAAAGACCTCAGCAACTGATGCTCTCAGAATGAGACTAAGTCTCAGGGTGATAAAAAAGTTCTAAATTTGTTGTGATGGATGCACAACTCTATAAAAGTACTGAAACCATGGAAGTATACACTTTAAATAAGTGAATTGTATGGTATGTAAATTGCATCTCAGTAATGCTGTTGTAACAGAGAGAGGGCAGGACACGAGGGCAGCAGATCTCCCACCAGTGTCATCTGAGAGCTTGTTAGACAGCCAGACCCGGGGAATCAGAAGCTCTGGAGTGGGGCCCAGCAAGCTGCATTGTAACAAGTCCACCAGGGGATTCCAAAGCTCACTAAAGTTGGGGACCACTGCTTAGAATATGTGGTTCTCAACCTTGCCTGTACATTGGAATCACCTAGGGAACTTTGAAAATGAGATCCATGCACTGGCCCCACGGCAGACCAACTAAATCAGACTCTCTGGAATGGAGCTCAGAAGCGGGTATGTTTTAAAGCTCCCAGGTCAACCTCTTGTACAGGCAGAGCGAGAGCCCTGGATTGGAGGGCATCTCAGGGCCCCTGCTTTTCAGCGCTTTTAAGAATTTAACCCAAACTCAACTCACTGGGGCCACCTAGTGGCCATACTGGGGAATGACTCTACCTCTTGCCTCTAGCCCCTCCAGAGGGCTCTGGGATGGGGCTCCAGGATCCTCGTCCTCCCACTGCAGAGGCCAGCACCACCCTGGCCTTTGGAATGGGGGGGGGGGGGGACCGGGGGCCCCCCCCCCCTGGCTTTTGGAAGGGGGGGGGGGCCCCCGGCGGGGGGGGGGGGGGGCCCCCGGCGGGGGGGGGGGGGGGCCCCCGGCGGGGGGGGGGGGGGGCCCCCGGCGGGGGGGGGGGGGGGCCCCCGGCGGGGGGGGGGGGGGGCCCCCGGCGGGGGGGGGGGGGGGCCCCCGGCGGGGGGGGGGGGGGGCCCCCGGCGGGGGGGGGGGGGGGCCCCCGGCGGGGGGGGGGGGGGGCCCCCGGCGGGGGGGGGGGGGGGCCCCCGGCGGGGGGGGGGGGGGGCCCCCGGCGGGGGGGGGGGGGGGCCCCCGGCGGGGGGGGGGGGGGGCCCCCGGCGGGGGGGGGGGGGGGCCCCCGGCGGGGGGGGGGGGGGGCCCCCGGCGGGGGGGGGGGGGGGGGGGGAAGTGGGTGAGAGTCCTCAACTTGCTTTGCTTCTTCCCTCCTCATTAAAACACTACACCGGAGGGCAGCCAGAGCAACACCCTCTAAACATGCTCCAACCACACCACCCTTCCCTCCTGGCAGAGGCAAGCCAGCTTACCTATCCAGCCTCATCTCCGACAGCTTCTGACGAACTGTGCAGGCACCGAACCACCTTCATTGCCTCTAAACTCACTCTGCACCTCTTAGCCTCTTGGCTTCTGCCTGTGCGTTCCCTCCCGCCTGAAGTGCCTTCCCTGGCTCTCGCTCTATTGGGATTGTATAAGACCATCTCCATTGGACCTCTTCTCTCTCCCCACGGCTCCAGTCCTGAGATTCTCCCTGCTCTACCTTCTGTGTGCCTCATAATGGACACCCAGAGCTGCAGAGCTCAGAGCAAGGGAGGAGCCAGGATGTAGAGAGGGGGGCTCTGATGGAGCCTGGCCAGCGTGGGATGGGAGGCCTATGGTGCTTTGAAGCAAGGCTGTGCATTCCTTTTCAACTTCTTGGGCCTCCAGCTGCAGGGAGAGCTGGAAGCCTCAGTGTCCTCTGAAAGTGGGAGGAGCTCAGCCTCTAAGCTCACTGCTGCCACCTGGTGGCAGCATACAAGACCACTGTGAGTGGGACCCAATGGTAACTCAAAAGGAGCCTTAGGATACAATCTAACTGCTGGCTCAAGAACTCAAATCTTGTGAAGTTCAGCAAAATCCATCTTCTGGAAACTCCTTAAGCACCTTTCCCTCCCCACATCTGGCAGCCTCAATCTCTGCAAACTCTCCTCCCAACTGACCTCCCATCTTGGATGCAGTCTGACCACAGATGCCCTGCCCCGCCTGCAGCCAGACACACATCCTTTGCCCCACTTAGGATCTGATCCATGACACCAGCAAAGGCTGCTCAGTCATTTCACCACAGTGTGCTCAACTTCAGGCTGGGCATGGGGCTGGCTTGGGGCAGGCCCCTTTTCTGCAGGGGCCACAGGCAGAGGCTGCCCTGAGAATCGCTGGCCAGCAGTGCAGAACATGAGGTTGGCATACTGCCCCCTCAGCATCATGGGGGTGTCACCACCACCCACCTGGCTCTCATGGCTTCCCCCTCCTCTGCCCCGGCAGCCAATCAAATTCTCTGGGCCAGAGAAGGACAGAAGTTGGCAGGTCAGCATGCTCCACACAGAGACCAACCGGGGTGCAAACTCCAACGCCCACCCTGGCCCATGGGTCACATGACTGCGCCGGAAGGGCCGCGTGTGACAGAGCAGGCAGCACTGGGGATCAGAGCAGACTTGAGAGCCCATTCTTTCTAGACCAGCTGAAAATCCAGATTTTTATACGAAATCTGAACTGTTATGGAAACCTTAATTTTGTAATTTAATGAGTTATTCAAAAACAATTTCTAACTGAACAGATCCAAAAAAGTCCACTTGGGGCCAGACCCAGTCCCGGGGCTGCACAGATATACACATGTCCTGGGTTGACAGGCAGGACTCGGCATAGCAGCATCAGCTGTTAAAAGACTGAATGGCTTCCCTGCCACTCCCCAAGACTCCAAGGGCCTCCACCCACTCACCACTCCTGTCCAGGACCCCTGGGCCTCTCATAACCCAGAAACTAGCAGGTGCTAGCACCTGGCACCACAGGGGGCTTGGGTGTACGTTCTGACTAGCCACATCCTCGACCGGTCCCAGGGCGGCAGCAGGTGCTTAACACTGAACATCACCCCTGCACACATCCCACTGCACACTCCAGAAGCGGGTGGGAGTGGCTTGGGGCTGAGAATGTTTCCATTTCAGGGACTGCCTCACTTCCAGAAGGTGGGAAAGTGACAAGAGCTAATGAGGGGCCCATGTGACCTCTAGCCACTTCGAACCCATGTCAGCTACAACCTGGGTTAGGTACATCAGGAAGCGTACCTGGGCCGGGGGCAGGGCTCACCTGGCGGTAGGTGCAGATGATGATTTCCCGCAGGTGGTAGTGCATGGGGGTCATGGTCTCACTGACTGTGTCCAGCGCCGCATCCACCTCCTGCTTCACGCGGTGCCCGTTGGGCAGCAGCTGCACCACCGTCATCACTACCTGGGGCCGGAGAGGGGGATGAGCAGATGGAAAGCCAACAGGGCGGGCGAGGGCCAGGTCCCAGCACCAGGCTCGCCCCACACCAAAGGGCCACACCGAGCCTCAGGCCCAGGCCCTGACCACAGAGCCCTGCCTGCTCCTCGGACCTTGGGCTGGAAGCAATGACAGGGGTTCCTGGACATCTCTCAGGCCAGGGCTCCCAGGTGATTTCATTTCTCTTTCATAAGTGAGATTTTATTGGGTGAACTGTGCTCAGTACACAGTCATTTCAATTTGTACACAATTCTTAGTATAAGTATGAAAAATCTAAAGAGCCATGTATTGAGATTCTTTTTTAGTTATTCCGGTGACTTCCCAGCTTAAAATTTAGAGGCAAAGGCCGGCCCGGTGGCACACTGGAGAGTGCACTGCTTGGGAGTGTGGCGGCGCTCCCGCCAAGGGTTCGGATCCCATGTGGAGACCGGTTCCCGCTCACTGGCTGAGCGCGGTACGGGCGCGACACCAAGGGTTGCGATTCCGTTACCGGTCAGTAAAAAAAGAGACAAAAAGGAAAAAAAAAAATTTAGAGGCAAATTTTCCATAACAGGATATCAAGTACCAACATCTTCAAATGTGGGCAAGCTGCTACACAAGCCCTGCACAAGCCCCACAAGCCCACAATTTAACATCACACACATGGTGCACTCAAATGCTCAGTCTTTCACAGCACATCAACGAAGTCATTAGGAAAAGTGGACTACCTCGACCAAAGCTTACAGAGAGCACACACAGTTCTGACAGGTCAAGTTCTGCAAGGTCAAGGGTGCTTTTCTTTAGGAAGCATATCTGCTAAACAATATGGAATAGAAGTAAATTTTTTTTTTTTTTTGTCTTTTTCCGTGTCCGGCAACGGATCGCAACCCTCAGTGTTGCCCCCGTACCGGACCAGGGACCGGCAACGGGATCGCAACCCTCGGTGCTGCCCCCGCGCCTCGCTCAGCCAGTGAGCGGGAACCGGTCTGTATGTGGGATCCGAACCCTCAGGCGGGAGCGCCGCCGTGCTTCCCAAGCGGCGCACTTATCCAGTGCGCCACCGGGCCAGCCCGGGAATAGAAGTAAATTTAAATGTTCAAGACATATTACCTGCACGAGTGTGCCACTGTAAATGCTTTGTAATACAGGATATAAAAACAATCCCCCTACACCTATAAAATGTTAAGCTAACCCAACGTGATTCTTTTTTAAGCAGTAGAAACTTTGCTTCGAACGAAACTTTATCTAACTATGATCTATAAAATGGATACCTGTCTCATAGTGGGGCTCATCGAATGAAGAGGGGTACAAGCCTAGGTGGGGGCCTTCCTGGCCCTCCTCCCAGCTCACAACGGCCCCCAGGCACTGCAGGGACACCCAGCTCTGGTGTACCCAACATGGACACCACTCATCTGATATAAGCCCCCCTTTACCACTGGAAAAACTGAGGTCTGTTAAGGCCACTCTGTAGAGCACAGATCTTCCCCCCCCCAGCTCCTCCCAACCATGCCCCGTTGGGTCTCCCTCCAAATCTGTCTTCGCAGCACCCTTCCATAGCCAGCACCTGATCCAGACCTCCATCACCTCTCACGTCCACTGTAGGAGCCCCCTGGCTTGTGTCTCCTCCTCCTCCCTGGTGGCCAGAGAAGTCTTATGAAAGAACAAAACTGAGCATATCCTGTTTGCAAAACTAACCAGGCTTCAATCTCTTCATGACTCCCTCGCACTCAGCATAAAAACTGAAAGCTTACCCAGGTCTACAAGGGACTCACGTGAAGACCAAGAATCCAACCAGTAAATAAACCCTGTACAGGGTGAGATGGTTTTCAACAGGAACAAGACCATTCAGTGGAGAAAGGACAGTCTCTTCAACAAACGGTGCTGGGAAAACTGAATATCCACATGCAAAAGAATGAAGTTGGACCCTTACCTTACACCACACACAAAAATTAAGTCAAAAAGGATCAAAGACCTAAATGTAAGAGCTAAAGCTGTAAAAGTCTTAGAATAAAACATATTTATTTTCCTTTAGAGGAAAAGCTTTGTGACATTGGGTTTGGCAATGATTTCTTGGATATAACACCAAAAACACAGGCAACAAAGGAAAAAAAAAATAGACAAATTGGACTTCATCAAAATTAAAACCTTTTCTACATCAAGGGACACTAACAGTAAAAAGGCAATCCACAGAATGGGAGAAATTATGTGCAAATCTAATATCTTATAAGGAATTAACATCCAGAATATATAAAGAACTCCTAAAACTCAACAACAAAAAAATCCAATTCAAAAATGGGCAAAAAGCTTGAATAGACATTTCTCCAAAGAAGACATGCAAGTGGCCAATCAGCACATGAAAAGATGTTCGAGGGCCGGCCCGGTGGCGCACTGCTACAGTGCGCCACTTGGGAGCGCGGTGGTGCTCCCGCCGAGGGTTCAGATCCCACATACAGACCGGCCGCTCACTGGCTGAGCGAGGTGCGGGAGCAACACCGAGGGTTGCGATCCCGTTGCCGGTCCCGGTCTGGTACGGGCGCGACACTGAGGGTTGCGATCCGTTGCCGGTCACGAAAAAAAACAAAAAGGAAAAAAAAAAAAAATGTTCGAGATCACTAACCAGTAGGAGATGCTAATCAAAACCACATCAAGGCTCTCCTTCACACCCATCACCATGGCTACTATCGAAAAAACAGGAATCAAGTGATGGTGAGGATGTGGAAAACTGGAAGCCTTGTGCATTGCTGGTGGGAACGTAAAATGGTGAATCTCCTGTGGAAAACAGTATGAAGGCTTCTCAAAAAAGCAAACAGAATCACCATTTGACCCAGCAATGCCACTCCTGGGTATACACCCAAAAGAACGGAAAGCAGGAACTCAAACAGATATTTGTACGCCCATGTTTACAGCACCATATTCACAAAAAAAGGTGGAAGCAGCCCAAGTGTCCACAGATGGATAAGAGAATAAACAAAAGTCCATAGTGGAATATTATCCGCTCTTAAAAAGGAAGGAAATTCTGACACGTGCTACCACATGGACGAACCTTGAGGACATTACACTAAGTGAAATAAGCCAGTCACAAAGACAAACACTCTATGATTGCACTTACGTGAGGTACCTAGAGTGATCGAATCCACAGAGACAGGAAGTGCAACGGTGGTTACGTGGGGCTGGGGGAGGGGAGAAACGGGGGTGCCTGCCGCTCAATGGGCACAGAGTTTCTGCCGCTCAAGATGAAAGAGAGGGACGGTGGTGAAGGCCACACCACAATGTGAATGTACTTAAAGCCATTGAACTGTACGCTTAAAAATAGTTAAAATGCCAAATTTTATGTTATGTACATTTCACCACAATAAAAAAAGAAAAAGAATCAGAGAATCAGCCAGAAGAAAAGAATCAGCTGGAAGAGCCTGGTGAGTCTGAGGACCTGCGTGGAGGTCAGGGTGGCAGGACTGCAGGGAGCGCAGCGCAGGGGCACACGGCCAGCTGGCCAGGTAGGCAGGAGCCGACTTTGAAGCCGACGACCCCCTTCTGAGAAGACACTGCCACCTACTCTTAGGGTGTCTAAGGAGGTGACACGCGGCACTGCAGGTGCATGACACATGGACGACTGGATCTTGAATGCTAGTGGCTGTCTATCCAGTGCCCTGAACTGAAACAGGGGACCATGTAGGACAGAGCAAGCAGGTGCCCTGCACCAAGGTCACCAACCACAGCTGGGTCCCAGTTCATCAACAGTATCCAGACAAGACGGTGGCCAGTGACCTCCCCCAGGGTACACAGCAGCCCAGCAACAGGGCCAGGCAGGAGAAGGGTCCAGATTGCCCATCCGATGGCTATCTGCCAGGGCCCAGAGCCAAACTGTCTCCTGCCTTGGTTTGTTTATCTGTGACATGGGAAGAGGGAAGCACCGACATGATGAGGAGGAAGAGGTGACAGCACTGTGAGGAGCTTTGCGGACCCCTCAGACCTGACAGCAGGACCCCTCCTCCACCCCGGGGTGCCCCCCAGGTACTCCCATGGGGTGTGCTCACCTGGAACTCGCCCTTAGTGAACTTGGCATCAGGCACGCTCACAAGCTCCTCCTCAACCACCTCGGGGAAGCCCTGAGGGAGGACAGCTGCTGGACAGGAGCACCTACCCAGGCCACGCCCTCCCCACGCCAGGAGCCCCTGGCCAGGGTTCTGCCCAGGACTGATGGGAGGGGGCTCTGGCAGCAAACCAGGAACTATCTCTGCCCCCGCCACCCTCTTGCTGAGGCCAGAGTACCAGGGCCCAAGTGCCCACCCCTGCCTAGGCAAGACCTTGTCCTCACACAGCAGGCCACACATACTTGGATATGCCAGAAGGACAACACAGCCACCACCATCGCAGTCGTGGTCCGGCCCTGGCCACTGAGGCAGCTGAACACAAAGCCAGTGCCTGGGTCCCTGGCAAGGGCAGCCCGCAGGGCCTCCAGCAGCCGGTCAAAGTCCTGCACAGGGAGAATGAGGTCTGAGCCAGTGGGTACCTCTTGGCTGCACAGACTCCCAGTGTAGCCCTCTCCAAATGGCAGCCCCAGCAGCTGTCCTTATGCTAGAAACTATGTCAGGCTCACAACCTTGCACACATAATGCAATGTACTGGGGTATGCATTAGACCACATGTGTGTCAACAGCCACACCCCTTAGTACCGTCATAACCACCCTCACCCCAGGCACCTGGGACACAGCACCCACCTGAGGCCCAAGCTGCACCCCCAACAGGCAGGGTATGCACGTGTGCATGTCACTCCTGTGTACTGCGCCCCTGGACTGCACATGGACCCCCTGGCCCTGCACCCACTGAGCTGGACCCAGCCCAGGTCCCAGCACAGGGCAGGGGCCTGACCCTGGATGGTCACCAGGGGGCACCAGACTGCAGGGAATGAGACCCGCAGGGTAAGGTGAGGCCAGCAGAGGGCTCCAGTGGGAAATGCAAGCCCCAGTCACCACTGCCACAGCCAAGTTCCACACAGGAACAGTGACCCACGGACAGTACATGACAGGTACCACACCACACAGATGTACCCACATACCTCTGACACACAAACTACAAACACATCCACAAAGATCTACATGCAAAAACACTGAGTCACACACAAGCACTGCATAACATCCTCCTCCACAAACCCCACACACACCACACACCACACAAGTCCCCTAAAGATGCACTCTCCACACACATCCCCCAATACAGAGAAGACAGACACCACAATCTCTAGAAAAATGCATGCACCACACACACATACACACTCCCCCAACAAAGACACACACACACTCAAACACCGTGGATATGCCCACCCCCAATACACACCTACAGCATAATGCATGCACATACACCCCTACAACATGTAATACACACAGGTACGTACACACACACATACACACACAAAGCCTGGAAGGGATGTGAATAAACCACCTGGCCTGAATCTGAAAACCTCATGAGAAGATCCTCTGGCCCCGCAGGGAAGTTGGGGTGGTTTCCTCCTCCCTGAGCCCAGGCCATAGGGGAGGCCGGGAAGGCCTCCTGTCCCACCACCTGCCCGGGCCCCTCACCTCCTCGCGGGGGGCACAGAAGTCTGGCACAGGGATGCGGTGGTAGGTGAGGCCAGGGCAGGCAGCGCGGTGCTGGCTGAAGACCTCCTGCATGGTGAGGCATGTCTGGAACCTGCGGGTTGGGGGGCCCTCTGCACCCAGGGCAGGCACGCTCAGGTGGGCCTTCAGCTGGGCCTCCAGGGTCTGGGGAACGGTGGACAGAGGGCACAGGCCACTGCAGCAGCCTCCAGGCCAGCCCTGACCCCAAGCCTCAGGGGTCATAACCACCCCCGGGGCCAGGAAGGTGGCCAGAGCACTGGAGCGGGAATCCCACATCAGCCACTCTGAAACTGCCCCCGTGGGGCCTCAGTTTCTCCAACTGTACAGCAGGAGCATAGGGCCTTTTGAAGACCCTCCAGGCAAGGGTGTGCACAGGGCAGGAGGCCTCACCTCCAGCTGGTCGGGGGCCGTGGGGGGCCCAGGCAAGTGTAGGCTGTGGGTGTGCCCATCACACTCCAGCACTGCCTCCTCCCTCAGGTTGACCCACACGACCTGCCGCAGCTTCCTCTTGGCGTCGGTCAGGTAGGCCAGGATGCTGCCCAGGGCCTGGGCGGTGGGAGGGCCATCAGTGAAAGGGCTCAACCCTCCACTCCCCTGCCCCACACCACCCATGAGTGGACCCTGTCCCCAAGGAGCGTCACCTTGGCACTGGGCTGGGCTGTGCCGTAGATGGGCATGCGGGGCACCCGCCGAAAGTTGGCCACGTCCATCTCTCTGAGGGTGCTGAGCGCATCCGGAGAGACGAGGTCATCTGCCCCCTGTGGGCAGAGCACCGAGCCTGGGACCGACAGCAGCCAGCTGCAGCCACAGAAAGGTCCAGAGCCCAGCCTGCGGTGGGCAGAGGAAGATAGAACCAGCACTATACAGTTTACAAACACTTTCGCACACTCGGAGCTTCATCACGCCCTGGTGAGGATAGGAGGGACGGCGCCCGGATGAGGACGCTGAGGCTCAAAGATGAGAGGCTGGGGGCAAAGACAACAGAACCCAGGTCTCCTGACACCCTGCCCAGAGCTCTTGGGTTTAAGACTGAGGAGGAGGCACCAGAACAGCAGTCCAAGCTGCGAATGCTTCTCGGGGCTTGAGAACGACCCCATTCTTCTTGCAAGAGAATCCCACACCCCCACAGCCTGTCCCCTTTTGCATCCTGTGAGGGCAATGCTTAACCCCACCCCACAGGAATCAAGTGTTCAGGGGACCAGTTCACCCCATTCCCACTTCCCAGACAGCCAGTCACACTCACCAGGGAGCCCCTGCTGATGAGGTCCCCAGGAGCCATGGGCCCCACTGGGCTCAGTGTCACGGGCAGGCGGTACAGCTCGGGGTGGGCACACAGCCAGCGGCTGAAACTGAGGGCAAAGGCCAGCGGGTACTGCAGCCCGAGGCAGAGAGAGACAGCGTTCAGGGGCATGGGGCCATCCTGAACTCTCCCTGTGCACCCCATGGTGGGGGGAGCCCAAGAGAAATCCAGCATGGCCCAAGGCAGGGACAAGGGGGTGGGTAAGAGAAGACTAGGACGTTTGTTGCCCTCGCTAAGGGTACAGAGACAGGGGCCAGGGGAGGAAAGTGGCAGGGCTTCCCTGTACCCAGCCTGCTCGGGGACCACCCCTCTGTCTGGGTCTCTCCTTATCTCCCCCAATTTGCCCACACTGCCTTCCTCTGGGACCACACACATGTCCCCACCCTCCTCCCCAGCTCCAGGGGTTCCCTGGTGAGCAAGCCAGTCACCATGGGGGGAGGGCTGGAAGAGCCCCAGGAGGAGGGGGTGTGGGTCTGTTCCTCCCCGGCCCCACCTGCTCATGGAGATAGTAGTTAAACAGGATCAGGTAGAAGTATCGCTCCAGGCTCCGCAGCGCCCTCTGCCAGACACTGTTCGGGCTGTTTCGTCCCTGCAGGAGGGGCCGGGAGGGAAGCCACCTGTCCTCATGGAGCCTCGGAACTCCCCAGCAGACAGTCTTCCCCGCCCTTCCCGACACAGTTCTGCCAGGCTGGAAGTTCTTCCAAGCGCCTAACCCTATCCCGTTTGCTGAGATTAATCCACGGCACAGGGAGAGCGGCTGGTGACCACACCCGCCACAACAGTGCTCGGTGCGGGGACTGCCTCCCCGTGCAGGCTCCCAGCCTGCAGACAGGGGGGCTCCCTCGCTACGTCCTAGCGACACGCATGTCAGGGCCACACACCGTCCATGCTGAAGCAAGAATCTGAACACCCTGTCCCTGAGCCAGAGGCCCTCCCTTAAGAACTGGAATCTCCACACATGAAAACAAAAAAGACCTTCACGATGGTGCTCAGGGGAGCATTATTATCACACCTAACTTACAGAGGGTAAGCAGAGGTTCAGAGAAATGAAGAGACCTCCTCAAAGTCACACAGCTGATGGCAAGGAGAGCTGGGTCCCACAAGTCTCCTGACTCCACTTATCAGGCCAGTGATGGCTGACCGCGCCACAGGTTTAAGTCACACCGACATTAAAAACCAGTATCAACGCGGGAAAGGCTGACACCATAAAGTCAAATGAAACAAGCAGGATGCAAACCATGTGCGGCAGCAACCTCCACGAGAGAATCATAAACATAAAAAACGAAGGAAACCAGCCCAAAATGCTCACAACAGCTGTGCTGGGATTCTGGGTGATTTTTCCCTTTCTTTGCTAATTTTCGGTCATAGAATATTACTTTTAAGAGATATTTTTTAAAAGTGTTAAAGAAGAAAAAGGCTCTGCAGGCTTTAGATCTGTCCACACACTGTGTGCAAATACTGTCAGCCCTCCTCCTGTCCCTAGAGCATGGGACAGGGACAGCTGACAGAGCCCACAGCCCATCACTCTTTGTGAAGCAGCAGACTCAACCAAACCTGGTCTTCCCGAAGAAACACCAGGAGGTTTCCTTGCAGGGGAGCCATGCGTGGTCTGGGAAGTCTCTGAACCCAGAGCCCCAGCAGCGCAGCCAGCAGCCCCTTCCTCCATCCTGTTTATCTGCAGCTGGGGAACCTGATCAGGGAAAGTAAACTTCCCTCTTCCTAGTCCTTCCTGCAGGCCGAGCACCCCCATCCCCCTTCCTCTGAAAACTGCTCTTCTCGTGGCAGAAGCGGCAGTCAGGAAAAGTCGGCCTGAAATAAGCCAGCCAAGAGACCCAGCAAAAGCAGGCTGCGGGGCTCGCATAGCAGAGGCTCCTGCGCCGTCCATCCGAGCCTCACCTGGGCTGGGCTCTCTGGCCGCAGGCCTTCCAGCTTCCTCTGGTTTTCCAAGACCACTTCCTTCAGGTCGTGCAGGTCTGCACAGGCGGCGATGGCTCTGTCCACCTGGTGTGGGGACCAGTGCAGGGAAGAGGGTGACAGGAGCAGGGTCAAGGAAAGACAGCAGGAGAGCAAAGGGAAGAGAGAACGGGAGAGAGTGGGTTGGCAGAGAGAAGGGGCAGGGCATCGGGGAGGAAGAGACACCCCCAGTGAGAGGAGGGACCGTCCCCTCTTCTGCCCCTGCCCCCAGCTCCTTGCCCAGCCCCCACTCACCTCCTCTACCATCTTCCTTCCCTGGGGCACCATGCGGAGAAAGCTCTGGATCACCTGGAACTGCTCCATGGGCGGGGGCTTGGCCTGCAGGGGGGTGGCCCTGACAAGGCAAGGGGTCAGCAACACAGTCAGGCCCCCAAGGTCGCTGGGACGGCTACACTGCCCACTCTCTCCCGTTCATACCGCTGCTAGGAAGCATCAGACAACAGGCTCCTTCTGAATCACACTGGGGGAAGCAAGGGGCTTTCCCCACTAGAGAAACTGAGCCCAGAAAGGTCAAGTGACTTTCTCCAGGTCACCCAGCAAGTCCATGGCAAACCAGGAAATGAATCCCAGAGGTCCAGTTTCCAGCTCTGTCTCCTGGACATCCCCCATCATCCCAGGGCAGCCCCGCCCCCTCCTCTCCCATCCCCACAGCCCCTGGGCACATGGGGTCCAAGCCACTCACTGTGGCTGGGAAGTGGTCCCACTGTGGTGGAACAAGATGAGGGTGCCCAGGACCATGCCCAGGTTGGTCCTGCCCACGCCCGTCTGGCAGCTGAAGAGGAGGGCAGGGGGAGGGCCGTGGGTGTCACGGAGCAGCAGCAGGCTGGGGGTCTCCTGGGGAAAGACCATGAACATCAGGCAACAGTGTGACCTGGAAACCCCTAGGCTGAGGACCAAGTTAGGGAAGGGAGCTCATGACACCAGCCCATCCCTGCCCTACAGTCTGGCAAGGTGGGGTTGGACAAGTGGCTTGGCCTCTTTTGCCATGCCCACAGCCGTCTGCTCCACCCACCCCAGGGGCACAGCACAGGCCCTGCCCCTTCCCAGGCCCAGGAGGAGCTCAGTCAGCTGACGCATGACCAGGCTCTGGAAGTGACAGCTACTCAGAGAGGGCCACAAATTAAATAAGGTAATATCCTGAAGGGGGTGGGGACAGAAACACCCCAGTACTCAGGAAACAGGCTGAGGAGTGTATAGGGTAAGCATCGTTGGCTCCACTAAAGAAATGAGGAACTTGAGGTCTAGTGGGGTGAGGTGACCTGTCCAAGACCACACAGCAAGCTAGCAGCCAAGTCACAGCCAGAATGCAGTCCTCCAGCGGTCAGTGCCAGACTCTGTCGTTAGAGAATGTGCAAATGCACCCTACACGCTGATATGTGCACACACACGCACACAGAAAGATGCACACACAGAGACACAGACACATGTACACAGACACATGTATCCCCACACAGACAGACACACAGACATGTACATCCACACCCCACAGAGACAGACACACACACAAAGAGACGGAGACACAGAGACACATGCACAGACACAGATCCACCATACACACGCATCCCCCAACAACTCAACAACACAGAATAAGGTCCTCCTCTGAGGACAGCTAGAGGCCACGCCCACCTGGGCATCTCCCTGGAAACCGACTCTTGAGACTCCCGCCCCACGCCCTGCTCCCACCCCCACCTCCCCCTTCCCCCGACTTACCCGGAGGACACTAATAAAGGCATCAAACTGGGCTTCAAGGGGAGCCCCTTGCTCAGGCAGGGGCAAGCGGTGGTACCTGCCAGGTGAGGGGAGCAGCCCATCAGGCAGGCCACCCACCCTGGGCATCCCCCATCCCAAATTCCCAAGCATGGTTTGGAAATGCCACCCCTGTTGGGAGAGATGGTTGTAGAGAACTCGTCCCAACCTGTAGACAGTGCAGTTGAGGCCACAGGAGAGAGCGGGTCCAGAGGGCACCCAACGGCTGGGGCAGGAGGACCGCCTGTGGTACCTGTAGGTGGGCTGCAGGAAGAGGGGCCGCCTGTACACCTCCTCAGTCACATGCACGTCGCCCTCGCCCCTGATGGCCATGGCGTGGGGCTCGCCCTGCAGGTCCTCGGTGCTGTGGTACACGTGGTACGTATTCTCACTCAGCTGGGCAAAGTCATGGATCTAAGGGAGGTGTGGAAGTCAGAGGGCCACAGCCCAACCTTCACGTTCCTCCCTGGCCACCTCAGTGGCTGAGCTCTGGAGTAACCAGGCCACAGACAGGCTTCTTTTCCTCCAAGAGGGCCACTGTGACCACCACACTATTTACACACCTCTCTGACATACCTCCACGTTGTGGGAGAGGAGGCGGCAGAACCTCAAAAAGAGACCAACAGAGGCCCAGAGGGAGACTCACCCACGTCCTCACAGCACATGAGGGGCTGACTCAGTCTTGGGGCTCCTAGTCTAGCACTCTTTTGACTCCACCAGACCCCTTTCTAAATAAGGATGTGAAGCATTGAAGAGAAAAGCAGGGTGAGAAAGGGGCAGAGACAGAGACCCGGGAGTAGGAAGTCCTTCCTCTTGCTGCCCATGAACCAGCCTTGCAGCCAGCCACTCGCCCAAGCAGGGCACCAAGTGGGGGAGTGTGGGCCCAGGAAGCCAGACGAGCCGGCCCCAGGGAGTGTGTCTGCAATGCTGGGCTGTGAGCTGGGGTCTCAGTCTCGGCTTAGCTGCCCGGGGCCTGCCAGGGAGGAGGGATCCCACCCACACCACTAGCCCTCACCTCTCTCCGGATGGCCAGCTCCAAGCTCTCTGCCTGGACGCCGGGTCCAAGGCCCTGCAGGTTCTTGTGAAGGTTCTGCTTGTCTCGAGGTGTGTAGGGCACGAAGTCCTCATCGGCACGCAGGAACAGCACAGGCTCCTCCCTCACACAGAAGAGGAGGCACTCCTGCCAGGAGCCCGAGGCAGAGGAAAGGCCTCACCACTGTCCAGCTCGGACACCTGCTCCACCGCCCCACTTCCAGGCCTTTGCCCAGGCATCCCTTCCTCCTCAAGGGCCCAGCACCCCACCTGGTCCTTGCAACCTGAGTTCTACCCAAGAAGCAAAGCTCGGTCCAAATGCCACCTCCTCTTCACCCTCCCAGTCAGCAATAACCCTTCCCTCCTCTCAGGACCAAGAGTCCTTTATCTGAGTCTCCTGGCGTTAATTCCTGCTTTGTATTAACATTATCAACGAGCGCATCTTTTCCCCCGATATCCTACAAGTTCCTCGCAGACAGAATCATGTCCGGGTCATTTTCAGGAGCCCACAGTTCCTAGCATGGAGCCGCGCATAAATCAGGTGTTTGATAAATGTCAGCTGGAGAGATGAATGTCCCGCCACCCCACCCCAGGCAGTCACTCATTCACTGAGCACCCCACGGTCAGGGCGAGCAATGTGGGCAGAGCCCGCCTCGAGGAACTTATAATCAAGCCAGCACCCCAACCCATTCTGGCTCACTCAGGGCCTCTCCGCCTTAACCCCAGGTCAATCCAGACACGAGCTGCCCCCAAGGAGCCTGTAATCACAGCACACTCTGTCCTGGAGACACACAAAACCCTGCCTCGACATCAGGCAGGGGAGGGGAGTCGTGAAAGCAGGCACTTGGAGTCCAGCTGCCTGGTTTTGGGTATCACGACCTTGAGAGGGTCACTTAATCCTCCCTGGGCCTTAGTTTCCTCCTCTGTAGAATGGGAGACAAACTGATCCTCCCTCCTTGACATGAACATGTAAGTGTTGGCTGTGATCATTATTTGGCAGGCTCTCAAGTTATAAACTGGCCCCTCTTGTCACTTCGTCACCCCCCTCGCTCCTTCCAAGGCTCTCAAAGTGGGGGATATAAGGGGCTTCTGACCACAGGTTCCCATGTCCACACAGGACAATGCAATAAACGTTAACCAGAATTTCCCGACCAAGGAAACCACAATGACCTCCTGGCAGTCAAGGCTACACCCGCCCTCTCCAGCATGCATCCAGACCTTTCTGGAGCCTCTGAAGTTGCCCCTCCCGGGAGCCCCTTTCCCTATGTGGGGAGTTAGCCTCTCTCTGGGAAGCAGCATGCTTACCCTATATCTGTCCTTCTGGAGTTTCTGGAGGACCCGCCTGAACCCCAGGAGACTTGGCTGTCCCATGCCGAACACGGTGAGCCCACCCCGCGCTTGCCGGAAGTTGGGGGCCCCACAGCTCCCCACAGTGCCCAACACATCCATCTTCTCAGTAACATCCCGCACCAGGAAGTAGCGGCCCTGGCAGGAGAGAGCCACAGGGGTCAGTCGGATGACTCAGGGGCATCTTCTACAGGTGGGGCTCTGTCCTGGGCTCCAGGGGACAAGGAGTGGGGAAACAGCGGGGAGAGGGACATGCTCCTGCCCCCCAGTTGCCTGCAGGCTCATGGAAAAAACAGAAAAAACACGTGACCATCAGTGATCTGGGAAAGAGTGTCATGAAGTGTGGGTTTAAAAGACAAGACAACTCTTCTTAGGGGGAAGCAGAGACGGCCTCATGGAGGAGGAGGCATCTGAGCCAGGCCCTGAAGGAAGCACCCAGGAGCAGAGCCAGCTCTAGGGTAGGGCCCGCAGCTCCCCCAAAGGAAGGCAAACATTTCTCGCCCCAGGTGGAGTGCACGGAGAAGCGGCCTGAGCAGGGAGTCACAGCTGAGACACCAGGAATCAACCAGAGGGCAACTGTCTTACCCCTCCTTAGGGCCCTGCCAATTCTGACAATGGGCGGGTCTTTCCCCTCCCCAGACTGGGGCGAATGGATGCAATGATTACAGAGAAAAGAGGAAAACACTGTCCAGCCGATCAGGTGAGAACAGAGGGAACCAGAAGAGTTCACTGCTGCGCGGAAAGGAACCCTGAAGTCATCTCATCCATCCCCCTGCCTCCAGCAGACCTGACATCCATGCTGCCTGACAGATAGGAAGGGGGACCAGCACTCTCCTAGACGAGCCAGAAATTCCCAGCTCCACTTCCAACAAACACAGTTTAATCATCACGGATAATCAGTCATTCATTCATTGAATATCTATTTGGCACTTACATTGCTTCCAAACACTGTTCTAGGCTCTGGGACTAAAGCAGATAGATGAAGCCAGAGAAGTTCTGAAGGTTTGTGACGGAGCAAGACGGCGACTCCCAGCCTGGGGCAGCAGAAGCTGCGGTCCCCAGGGCCATCAGGCACGCCTCTCTGCTCCTCCTGGTGCCCCGAGGGAGGAAATGCCAGCAGGCTAGGGCCAGGCAGGGGACACGTGGGACCAGAAGAGCAGGGGGCTCCACAGGGAAGGAGGAACAGGACCCAGGAAACCAGGGGCAAGAGGAAGTGGGTTCAGGACCCCAGAGGGTGGAGGGGAGAGTGATGCTGCCCTGGCCTTTAAAGTAGGGGGTGAAGCAGTGAAGCGGGGGGTGGGGGAGAGCAGGGAAAGGTGACAGAGAGAAACTATGAGGCGAGAGGACAGGAGGAAGTAGGGAGAGACTGGACAGGCAGGGCCCGACCTCACCTGGACCAAGTAGTGCTCAGGGGTGGTGTCCGAGAGGCGGCCCAGCGTGTAGTGGGCCTTGAGCAGCTCATCATGGATCTGGAACTCCTCTTTGCAGTTGTACCTGCCGGGGCAGATGGAAGCCATGTCAGGCAATCCCCACAGTCAGGGTCCCCTCCTACCTCAGCAGAGCCCAAAGAAGGGCCACCCACCCCTGCCATGTGGCTACCAATTTGTGGCAGAGACTGCCCGTGGCCCCCAATATCCACTCTCCCCTTCTTCCTCAGCAAAAGAACATCAAATTGTGATGGGGGACTGGGCTGCCCAGCCAAAAACTGCACTTCTCAGCCTCCCTTGCAGCTAGTTGTGGTCATGTGATTAAGTCCTGGCCAATGAGGTGTGAGGAAAAGTGTTGTGTGCAAATTCTGGGCCATTCCCAAAAGGAAGGTGCCTTCTGTGTTGTCTTCTCTCCTTCCTGGCTAAAATCCAGAAGTGATGGCAGAGGTGCACAGTGCAGAGGTTCAAAACTCAGGATTTGCAGCCTGGTGGCCTCGGCACGAATCCCAACTCCACCACTAGGTAATTACAGCTTTGGAGAAGTATCTCAGTTTCCAAGAATTGCTATCTTGTGAGAATTAAATGTGTTAATGAAAGTATGTGCTTAGCCCAGTGCCTGGGGCACAGATAGCTTTTATTAATATAACTCTATTACCAGTAATAGTTCTCCCTCCACACAAGGGCTATCTCAAACAAAACCTGCAGGTAAAAACCAAGATTTCTGGAGATGAGAAACCAGGGGAAGGACCAAACACTCAAGCAAGACTTACTATGCACTCAAGACACAAAGGCCACAGTGCTGACTCTATGATCTGGTACTGGATTCTCTTTACAGAAGAACTGCCTTTAGGAAAGGCAGGAGGGGGAAGTGGTGGGGCAGAGGAGCACTGCACGAGGCGTCAACAGACCTGGGCTCCCACTCCAGCTCCTGATGTGGGCAAATCCCTCTACCTCCCTGAAATCCAGTTTTCATATCTAGATCAGTTTTCACATCTCATCTAAAATGCACTAGGCAATCCTCTTCTGCAAAGGATCAGACAGTAAATGGTTTAGGCTTTGTGGGCCACTATTCAATTATGCCATGGAAGTGCTATATCCACTGACAACTTGTGAGTGAGCAGGAGTGGCAGTGTTCCAATGAAACTTTACCTACAAAAACAGGTGATGGGCCAGTTTTGGCCTGCAGGATGTAGTCTGCCGACTCCTCTGCTGGATGATGTCTAAGGACCCTTCCAGCTCAAACACTCTACCACCGAAGGAGTGCTACTGTCATAGCTGGCTTTAGGCTGTACGCATGGTACCTTGTGCCAGATTTTTACAGCTGGCCAACGACTGTTCTGATTGTCATTTCTGCTTAGGTCGATAAGGAAACTGAGGCCCAGAGAGGGAAAGGGATGTGCCCAAGATCACAAAGCAAGGGAGAGGATGAACCAGGCCTAGGACATGTGTCTCCAATGCTGCCCTCAAGCTCTAACCCTACCTGTCATCTGTCAGTACAGAGACTACACATCAAGTCCCCTTTATATAGCATCTCTTTTCCTCTCTTTACCATGAGCACAGTGATTTATTACGATTACAGTTTTCCTGTCAGGCTCCAGAGCTAGCAGGCAGAATTTATTGTCCCCAACCCTCAGCTTTCCTTACACAGAGGGCCCCATCTGCTAGGTCTTTGCCAAACTTCTACGTGTAGAACACATTTAAATCTTAGTCCATCATGTCCTACTTCCTGTGTCCTGAAAGGCCCAGAAGCAGGGGAGCATGACAGGCAGATGCGACAAAAAGTACGAGTCTTCCCGACTCACTCGCTGCAGATCCAATGTCCCTTCCATCTTCCTGCCCTCAGGCTCCCCAGCACCCGTTCCTTCAATTAAGCCCCACAGGAGAGACAGGGCTTCAGGGCCCCCTTCCCGACACTTTTCCTCTGGATGCACACAGCATGTCCAGGTCTCTCTCAAAATACGTTGCCACAACAAACCCTCAGCCTCCTCAGGGAATGTCCCTGAAGGGCCTAATCAGGAGAGTCAATTGGCAGCTTCCAGCTTTTTTAGCCCAAAGCCCTTCAGTACAGTGTTAACCTGTTTTGAGCCACAATGCCTGACTGTGAAAAAAAAAATCTTAATTTCATGCATCTAAGTTTATAAGCTGCCTTTGCAAACGTTCAGCCAAAAATTATTTTCAAAGGGTTTCCCTCCAGCCACTCCTCCTCCACGCTCTGTGGCACCGTGGACATGGTAAATAACGTGGGCTCAGAGACCCACAATAGCAACCCAGCTCTGTCACCCACTTCCTGTGTGACTCCAGACAAACTGCTTAACCTATCTGGGCCTATGAAACTGAAAGCAGTTTGTAAGCATTAAGTACTGTACGCCACTGCAACTTCAGACAGGTCCCCCCAGGCCATGTCTTCCAGGAACATGGTCCCAACCCCCCACCACTCACGTGATCACTACAGGGGCCACCTTGTTGGGGATGATGGACTTGGCCTTGCTGTTGTGTAAGCTTGTGGTATGGAAGGAGTGGACACTGAGTGAGTGCCGACCATCCATCGTGCTGCCACCCTGGAGGCCCTCGAAGGGGGCGCCTGCGGAGACCGTCTGCTGGGCTGTGCTGGCCGTTGTCCCCATAGTCTGCCGGCAGCCTCACGACCCAAGACCTGTGTGGTGAGAGGGCCTGCAGTGAAGGACGAGGGTGGGAAAAGTCCCAGCAGGAAGGGACCCAGCCCACCCCTCACCCGTCACCACACAGACAGGCAGCTCACAGTGCTGCAGGAGAGAGAGGCGGGCAGGCACCTCCGCTCTGGAGCTCAGAAAACCACATGCTCACTGAGTGCCTACCACGTGCCTGGCCCTTTGCTGATGCTTTGGGGGGAGTTATGGACAGAGAAAGACAGGAAAACGCAGCCTGGATCCCTTAGAAGGCACACTCCTCTGGTGAAAACAAGACAGTTAGGAAGGGGTTAACCACGCACAGCAAGTCAGGGCCTAGGGTTCTAAGTGACTGGTTCAGGAGGTAGACAGAAGCCAGGCCTTCCAGGCTGAGAGAAGTGGGCGATGTTACCGTCACCAGGAGGGAAGAGCCAGGGGAAGAGAGAGGCTAAGAGCGAAGCTGGGTTTGGATCTGAAAGATTTGGATGGGAACGGGATGCAGGAGGATATTCTAAGCATGAATTTCATAAAATAAGGCCAGGGAAATTCGGACTAAGTGAGTTCTCAGCAGACCCAGGGTTCTAAGAAAACACCAAACCACTGAGCTCAAGATCCACATCTGAATCAACAGCAACAGGCAAAGCTTCCGCCCCGCCTGGAGAACGCGGGGCATCTCACAGACCCAGCGGTCCCTCTCGTGGGGCTCTCTCCTAAGGAAATACTTAAGGATGTATGCACAGAGTGGCCCACAATGCTGTTGTGTGGACTGGGGTATCGTTTATAATAACAACACACTGGGAACAACCTTTGGCCAACAGCAGGGGATTTGTTGAGTAAATTATGGGGCATCACTGAGGTGGAATGAGAAGCAGCCTTTAAAAATATCCTGTTGACTAACGTGGAAAGACATCTAGAAAGTAGGAAATGCATGGCGTGGTTGCAAAGCAAGTACATGCTACGATCCCCCTTCGGTTCATAGAAACGTATCGGGAGAAAAGTCTGGGAGCACAAACATCAGGGTGCTGGCGTGAGTTACCACCAAGTGATAAGATTACAGACAATCTATATTGCTTCATTTTTGCTTATCTGCATTTTCTGGTGTTTCTCCTCTGAACGTTGAGTAATACACTTAAAACCTATTTAAGGCAAATAAAAGAACAGCTGGGGAAGAGGGCCGGGATACCTTTCAGGAGCTGGTGTGGGTGGGAAAAGTGGTGGCTCGGAGCTCTAAGAGCCAGGGCTGCTGGGAAGGGAAGGGGCTGGGAACTCCACACAGGCAGAAGGCGACAGATACGGGAGACACAGGCTCACAGAACTTTCTGGGAGCTCAGCAGCCACTGGCTCTACATAGCACTAATGGCCCGGGATCAGGAGTAGGGGGCAACAAGCTGCCCTGCCAGCCCCCCTCCGCCACACCCTGCTCCACTCTGCAGAAGCACACGGACAATAGCAGCCCTTCAAACATGACAACTTCCCTAGCTGCCTCTGGCCGGCATGAGCTACATCGGTGGGAACTGTCCGCTCCCAACCATCCACGCTCCCCCCAGCCCTCTCACAACCAGCAGCAGCACTCGTGGGGTCACTGGGTCGTGGAGTCAGCATGAAGCCAGAGTCAAAAGTCAGTCTGAAGTCTGAGCTCACTGTGCCCTCTCCCCCCTAGGCCCCGAATCTGAGCTCCTGGTCTCCAGTGGGGGGCTCCCCAGGCCTTCCCCACTCTGTTTATTCAGGCTGCCTTCCCAGAGCCACCTCCTGCCCTGCGGACCCTCAGACAGAACGACTGACCACCAGACTCATCGGCCCCTGCCAGAACCTTCTCAAACCACCGCCTGATTCTGCTCCAATCTGGACAAGGCTCCCCCTCTCCTGCCCAGCCTTGTAATCCTTGAAAACTCCCAGGAGACTCGTGACAGTTGCGTGAACACATGCCTTGTGTTTACAAGAGCCCATCCCCACAGCCCTCCACACCCTGTCCAATTCCTCTCTCTCTCTCTCTCTCTCTCTCTTTTTGTCAAAGGTGGAGGAAATGAGCCTCCACGATCCCAAGCAGAAAGATAGGCGGCTCAGAGAGGGAGAGGACTCCATGGCGGGCCCCGCCAGCCGAAGGCAGAGGAAATTTCTTGCCACTTTTCTCTCTCTCTCTTTTTGTCAAAGGTGGAGGAAATGAGCCTCCACGATCCCAAGCAGAAAGACAGGCAGCTCAGAGAGGGAGAGGACTCCATGGCGGGCCCCGCCAGCCGAAGGCAGAGGAAATTTCTTGCCACTTTGCCAGCCCTGGCAGGCCCCAACAGCGCTCACCAGTTTCCCAGACCCCTGCTGCAGCCTGGGCCAGGGCGGCCTGCGTGGGAACAGCCTCCGAGAGCAGGGGTATAGGGTGGCTCTCCCAAGGGACAAAGCGACAAACAAAACACGGGAAGGGCATGCAGGAGGCAACAGCTGGCCACAGCTGTGGGGCTGAGCCCAGGCCCCAGGAACCATTCTCACGGGGCTGGGCTGGGCCTGACACCTCGCCTCTCCTCCCCCTTGCCTGCCTCCAGCTCCAGCCAGTCTCACGGGCTCCACAGGCGATGACAGGCCACAGCCAGTGACCTGTAAGGGCAGCCAGGAGACAGCGCAGATGTGCACAGCTGCGGGGCAGAACAAACAGCTGGTGGGGAGGAAGGACAGGACCCTTTGTAAACCGCGCCTCCTCCAAAACCATCCAGGGGAGGGCGTGAGGCCGGGATCCCCCTCTGTAACCCTCACCCTCAAACCTCGCTCGACCCGCCAGCGCGAGCCTGGCCAGCTCAGGGACCTTACCCTGCTGGCACATGCTGGAGGGCCCTGGGCAACTTCCTCCCTCTGGGCCTCAGCGTCCACAGCTGCCAAATGGCAGTGATGGATGGGATGGTCTGAAAGCCCCTCCCGGCTTCAGGTGGATCTGGCTCCTAAGACCACTGCTGTCCACTCCCAGAGACAGTGGCCGGCAAGGGCAGGGGCGTGAGTGGGGTCCCTGGTGCTCAAACCTCTGCTGGGAGGAGACTGGGGTGGGGGTTGGGCTGAAACAAGACTATAAGATGGGGGCGCATGAGCCTGGACAGCTTACAAACAATTACGCCTTTATTTTCCTAACTTCTAACTTTCCTTCAATCATGAGTGAAGGCCAGCCCCTAGAATCAGCACAACCATGAGGTGGTGCCCACAGACTCACAGATGTTTTCAAGTCACACTGCAGATGGAAAAGTCACTTGCACTTATCGCTGCTTTAAACAACAGTAGTTGTCAGACCCACCAGAGGACCACATGAGCCCAGAGTCCCCTGCCCACAGACGCTGGAAACATGCAAATGGCCAATTTGGGGCAGCTCTGTGCCTGGAGGTCTTGGCCCCTGGTGGGATCCCAGGTTCTCACAATTGAGTTTAACTCAACAAGCTTGGAGAATTCCAGGGATTCTAGTCAGAAGCCTATCCTCGCCTTATAAAGCGAGCCATGAAGAAGCTGCAATTCCATTTGCAAAGTGGGATTTGCAACACTTGGAACCATCAAAACAGAAAATCACGATCGCCTGGGTGGTCATCATGCCGGGCACGGGCCTTGCCTCAGAGACACGCCCCTGCTCAACGTTCCCATCAAAGCTGAGCAGCAGCAGTCTTGTCGGTGACGTGTCTCTAAAAAGTAAATTTAACCTCATCTTGCTAATGGATTATCTTGTTAATGCAATAATAACTAAGGACCTGTGTTACCATTTCACCAACTTCTTTAAGTAATAAAATGTATTTCCTTTGTAATCTCACCTTTTTCTTTTTTTTAATGTATTTAAAAGTATTATTCTGAGAAGGGATCCATGGGCCTCTCGGATTGCTTGAGGGGTCTTTGGCACACAAATAAGGAGAAACCCTGCTGGGAGTGGGGGATGACACTCCCCGCCACACACAGGCCTCTTCTACCTTCTCCTTTGCTCCTGTTATTAACGTTTCAAAGCACTTTCTAAGCACCAAGCACCATGCTGGGTGTTCTATGTCACATGTCACATCATCCCCCACCTCGCTGGATCACATTCAGATGAGGACAGCGACCTTCAGTAAGTGGTAGCAGTCAATAACTGCTCCTTTGTTTGCCATCCTGACCTTATACAGCTGACCCTGGCAGCAAAAGCACCTCACATGCCACCTCCCCTTGGATTGTACGACCCCCACATCCCCCCTCCACTCTGCCAGAACACCCCCTACCCAGCCTCCTAGAGAGAAGCACGGCTTCCCACGGAGGGATCAGGGACACCAGGTCCCATCTCACCACGGAAGCCTTCAGTGACCAGCTAAGAAGCCACAGAATCATCTAGGCTGCAGCTAGGATGGCATTTGAGAAAGTCTTTCACACAGACATGCCATCCTCCGCCTGCAGGCAAACACACGGCAGTTAGTCCCAAGAGAAAAAAAATCATCCTGTGGAATCCTTGACAGAGAGGTGACCTTGTTTCCTAAGAAGAATCAAGCTTCAGTAGCTGGAATATTCGCTCCAACTCATCAACTAACCACCTGATGCTGCAGCATAAACGCTCGACCTGCCAGAGTGGTGAGCCTCTAGTCAGTGGCAGTGGCAGACCAAGGGGACACTGGAGATAACCTCTCTCGCTCCTGGGTCAGGGACAATGGGCAGGAGGGTCAAGAGCAGGTTCCTAAGGCCCCAGCTCTAAATATCTCAGGATACTAAGTCCATTTCTTTTCATACAGTTCTTGGTAGAAGTGAATCGTCATCATTCTGGTCTCAGTTTCCCCATCTCTATCACAAAGCTCACAAATCCCCACCTTCTTTGTCCTTGTCACATGCAGCAGCCATGACTGCCCCAATGACTGGTGGCTTCTCCAAAGCATAGCCTGGCTTTTGAGACTGAAGCTGAAAGCTGGACACATGCCACCAACCCCAGCCACCACCCCAGCCCAGTCTCTTTCTCCTGCCCTCCCTGCCCACTGGGATCCTGAAAAATTCCAAGTCCCCCCAGGGATGCTATGACC